CCTAACCACTGAGCTACAGTTTCATTTATATTTTTGAAGATTCTTATTCTGTTTTCCCTCAAGGCTGTCCTAATTTAAATCTCCCCAAACAGTACAGGCTGGTCCCGTTTCCCGCCCATTCTCACCGACACTTGTCTTTGGTGTTTTCCAGACAGCTGCTCCTAAGAGGTGCAACGTGGCATCTCACCGCGCTTGTCAACAAAAATGTTCTCTCTTCCGTGTTCTCATTGGATGTTTGAGTTCTCAGTAGGAGAGTGAGGTTCCTTAACTAACGATGTTCTTTTGCCTGTTAACGGGAAGGACACGGTTGACGTTGACGCTAATGGTGTGACTATCTGTGGTTCATTTCCAGGAGTGCTCATAACTCCCAGCACCAGGGTACAACGGTTTGAAGTCCTCAAGAACGGCACCTTGGTCATCCGCAGGGTCCAGGTGCAGGACCGGGGCCAGTACGTGTGTACCGCCAGCAACCTGCACGGGCTGGACCGGCTGGCGGTCCTGCTGGCCGTGACGGTGCAGCAGCCCCAGATCCTAGCCTCGCACTACCAGGATGTCACGGTCTACCTGGGGGACACCATCGCCATGGAGTGTCTGGCCAAGGGAACCCCAGCTCCCCAAATCTCCTGGGTCTTCCCGGACAGGACGGTGTGGCACACCGTGTCCCGCGTGGAGGGCCGCATCACCCTGCACGAAAACCGGACCTTGTCCATCAAGGAAGCGTCCTTCTCAGACAGAGGGGTCTACAAGTGCGTGGCCAGCAACGCGGCTGGGGCGGACAGCCTGGCCATCCGCCTGCACGTGGCGGCGCTGCCCCCGGTCATCCAGCAGGACAAGCTGGAGAACATCTCGCTGCCGCCCGGCCTGAGCATTCACATCCACTGCAGCGCCAAGGCCGCGCCCCTGCCCAGCGTGCGCTGGGTGCTCTGGGACGGCACCCAGATCCGGCCCTCGCAGTTCCTCCGCGGGAACCTGTTCGTGTTCCCCAACGGGACTCTCTACATCCGCAACCTGGCGCCCAAGGACAGCGGGCGCTACGAGTGCGTAGCCGCCAACCTGGTGGGGTCGGCGCGCAGGACGGTGCTGCTGACCGTGCATCGCACGGCGGCCAACGCGCGCATCACCGGCACCTCCCCGCAGAGGACCGACGTCCGCTACGGGGGCACCCTCAGGCTGGACTGCAGCGCCTCTGGGGACCCCTGGCCGCGCATCCTCTGGAGACTGCCGTCCAAGCGCATGATGGACACGCTGCTCAGGTACTCAGCTTCTTGCGAGTGTATGTTGGGGACAGAATTGCTGCCCCCAAAGGACAGCAGTCCTTGTTAGAATGAGCATGCCAAGACATTGATTTCCAGAGGCTCTTTTTTCTTTTTTGGCTGGGGGTGGGTTTGAACCCGCCACCTCCAGCATATAGGGCCAGCGCCCTACTCCTTTGAGCCTCAGCCGCTGCCCCAGGGGCTCCTTTTCATGCAATGAAATTTTGTGTTTATTAATTCATTCATTCATTTTAAGAGACAGGCTTCTTCTCTGCCACTGAGACTGAAGTGCGGACGCATCGTCATAGCTCACTGCAGCCTTGAACCGTAGGGCTCAAGTGATCATCCTTCCTCAGCCGTCAGAGTACCTTAGACTACCAGCATGCTTTACATACAGAGATGGGGGTCTCACTATGGTGCCCAGGCTGCTCTCCAACTTTTGTCCCAAGCAATCCTCCCGCCTCAGACTCTCAAAGTGCTGGTATTAGAGCTTTAACCAATATGTCTGGCTATTTTTAAATTTTTTGGTAGAGACACGGTCTCACTATGGTGCCCAGGCTGATCTTGAACTGCTGTCCTCAAGAAATCCTCCCAGCTGGGCCTCCCAAAGCACTGAGATTACAGTTTGAGCCACTGTGCCCACCTACTGTCATTATAAAGTGGGGTCTAGTACACACACCTGACCTCCCTCCTTACCCATTCAACCCTGTCCAGAAAAAAAAAAGGAACCAAGAAACTTTTGTGTTAATAATTATATTTTAAAGTGTATTTTAAAAGATGGTATTAGGTAAAACAATTCAGCTTGCTTTTATTTCCATTATTAATTTCAACAAAATATATAGATGTTTTAGGCCTTAGTTTAATATGGCATTCATGATAAAATTGAAGTATGCAAAAATGATAATAAAAATATAGTTATAGGCTCAGCACATGTAGCACAGAGATTATGGCACCAGCCACATATACCAAGGCTGGCATATTCAAACCCAGCCCTTGGTGGCTAAACAACAATGACAACTGCAACAAAAAATAGCCAGGTGTTGTGACAGGCACCTGTAGTCCCAGCTACTTGGGAGGCTGAGGCAAGAGGATTGCTTAAGCCCAGGAGTTGGAAGTTACTGTGAGCTGTGATGCAATGGCACTCTACCTAGTGAGACTCTATCTCAAAAAAAAAAAATTATATATGTGTGTAAATATGTATATATATCTACATAATGAGACTCTGTCTCAAAAAAATTATATGTATGTGTATATCTGTATATGTCATTATAGTACCTTTTAGTGTGCTAAGGACAGCACACGTATGATTATAAAAATATATTTTGGGCAGGATCATTGGCTCATGCCTATAATGACAGCATTTCAGGAGGCCAACATGGGAGGATCTGTGATGGTCAGGAGTTAGACACCAGTCTGGACAACATAGTGAGACCCCATCTCTACAAAACATGAAGAGAAATTAGCTGTGTGTGGTGGCTAAAGCCTGCGACCCCACCAGTTTGAGATTCTCAGGCAGGAGGATGGCTTGAGGCTAGGTAATCTGAGATTAACCTGGACAGCACAGTGAGACCCCATCTTGAGGCTAGGAATCTGAGATTAAGCTGGACACCATAGTGAGACCCCATCTTTTTGGTTGCTTTTAAATGATGGATTGAAGGGCCGGCATTGTTAAGGAAAAAGGAAATGGATTCAAACATAATTAATGGTGCAGGGTAGAAACTTAGTGTCCTAAGCAGTCAGCAGCATCTGAGTGTGGGGACCAAGATCAGTGTCCGTGGGTTTCTTCTGCATGGGTGTTTCTCGTATCTTACTTAGGACCCGTTTGCAGGAAAGAAGCTCAGGCATTTTCCTCCAGCTTCTATTTTAAACTTGCCACATCTGGGTAGTGCTCAGAAGAGTTTGCACAATCGATCCAGAGTAGCACATATCCCATCCAGCCGAGGATGTCTTTCAACTGTGCTGCCCGGTTGCCAGACTGTTTTCTTTTCAGTTGGCCTGGCCGAGCCACTGTTTGGTGGTTTTCACAGTATGAGAATGTCATTCCAGGAGGATTTTGAGTCATTCTATTAATGTCCCTGTATAAATCCTAAGTAAATCATAAATCATCATCTCGGGGGTGCTTCATTCTTATTAAATTCCTACTAATTACATTCTTAGTACAGTGTAATTAAACACCCCATGTGATTTTCATCAAAGAGTGGGCTATTTTCCTGGCCACATATTAGGACTATTTAGAAACAGAGATTTTAACTCTTCCCTCATGAAGCCAAGTCCCTCGGAAGGCGTGTTTCTTTTTTGTTCAAATTTTTGCAGTTTATTCTAATCCCAAGTAGGCCTGGAGATCAGTGCTGTGGACACTTTGCACATACACGCTACTATACAAATTTTTGGATTCAAACTCCAAGGCATGTTAAAATATCCTAAGGAAACACTCACCTGTCAAATTTCTTACTAAGTTGCGTTACCTTGGTTTTTAATCTTGACCTACAAGATAATTTATGTGGTTGTTATCAGTAGCTGCCTTTATTTGCAGTAATCAGGTTGACGCCAAGTGTATACAGGCATTTCCTTTTTGAAGATCTATGATGCTGTCCTGGACGGCGCCTGTGGCTCAAAGGAGTAGAGCGTCAACCCCACAAGCTGGAGGTGGCAGGTTCAAACCCAGCCCCCACCAAAAACTGCAAAAAAAAAAAAAAAAAAAAAAAAGAAAAATAGGAAAAAAAGATCTCAGAGCTAAACAAGTCAGACAAAATTAAAAAAAAAAAACAAAAAATAAGAGGAATAAAGAAAACCTAAAAGAAATATGGGATTATATAGAGATGTATATAACATAATAATAATCATAGGCAGGCCCAAGAGTGAAGAAGAAAATACACAAAGGCTAGTAAATTTATTTGAAGGAATACTCAAGGAATATTTTCCCAG